CACGGGATGAAAGGGAGTAACAGTATTCTAGGCCGGTACCACAGTAAGTAGGTATGAAGATAATTTTCGTTATCTTCATTTGTTATCTTCGTCATCATCATCATCAACCTTTCACAAGTCCACCACTGAACATAGTCCTTCCCCAAGGAATGCCTAAAATCATACTAATATCATCAATTAACTCAACCAGGATGAGCGTTGGTTGACTGCGGATGAAATGGCAGCCCAACTGCTCTCTGTAAACTGCTAAAGTTACGCCGTAAGGATTCACGCGAGAACGGCAGTTGTATGCGAGCCACAGTTCGACTTTTATTTCGCAACTCTGGCAGAAACGCACAATTGATGAGTCGCTAAGAGGGAGGGGTGTTTATTCAAGGCATGTAATTATATATAAGTAAAATGTATAATTAAATAATTGAAGTGATGAGCGTCCTCCTTAACCAGTCTGTCGCTACTGAACTCAAAGAATTCCAGACAAAGAAGGTCATATATACGTTGTTACCCTTGAAGACTTCAAGAGATGAGATGTATGACTTGCAGTCTACAATATAGTGACTCTTCAGACCAGAAAACAGAGTGAGTGGCATTTGGGCTTTCAAAACTGCAGAAAATAGCAACTGTATGGTGTCAATCGAGCTGAAGCTTTAACCCTAGGTAGAAGAAATTTCTTAAAGCTAGGGTTTAGTAGATATTGCTTTCTTCGTGTCAGTCGTAAGAAGTAGTGACAGTTATTGCTTCCATAGAGGTAATTTTTGTACGTCCGTGATAACAAGGAAATCCTCATTTAATTTTAGATAAAAATTTAAAACTCATAAGCCTACCTGCTAATAAGGTATCAAGTAAGTATTTAAAATAGATCACTTAATGACTTACGAAGCAGGACTCGTATTGGGCGTGGGACTTAGGTTTAGTAGCCATGAATCGTTTCACGGGACCGCAGCGCGCGTTTTTCTTGCGAGAGTTTTATAAAAACAACAATTCCTACACTATTGTTTGTCATCTCTACAAGACACATTTTAATTTAACAAGCTTAAAACATGTGCCATGTTTGAAGAGACTGGGAATACAATGCCGCACAAATCGTCTGGGTGCAAAAGGACATCAAGAACGAGCATGAATGTCGACAGCATTTGCCAGTCTGTTATGGACAACCCACGACAATTTGAGATTGCGCGCAGCGTTTCTTAATTTGAACAATCTACGGTTCATCGCATTATTTCGAAAGACTTACATTTTCGCCCCTATAAAATTATTATTGTTCAAGAAATGAAGCCTGATGATCCTAATGAACGAGTCAAATTCTTCAGGACAATGGAAAACCGTTTCAAGAGTCTCAATAACATTATTTCGATCTGGTTCTCCCACGAATCGATTTTCACATCGACGGTCACGTGAATTAACAAAATTGCATATACTGGGCTTTAGAGAATCCGCTAGAACTGCATCAGAAGCCCTTGTGCACTTGCCGAAAGTTGTTGTTTAGGCTGCCATATCAAGTCAAGGAACTATCTATCGGTCCTTATTTTTTTGAGGATAACCGAGGTCGAACTCAGACCGTTTATTCATATCGATATTGCCATATGATCCGGTTTTTTTTGGCTACAGAAATACCACTTCTCTTATTTACAATCCATTGCCACCCAACCTGAATATTTTGAAGCAAAGAATCACTGAAGAAATCAACTCTATTCCAAGAGCGATGCTCCAGCGAGTGATTGAAAATTTTAGCTCCAGGTTAAATGAGTGTGAACAAGTGAATGATGCGCATTTGCGAACGGTTGTTTATTATAAATAAACTTCAAAAACTGCTCTTTATTTTAATAATAAATGAAACGAGTTTTAATAGATCTTGTTTTTATTTAACGTTTTTAAAAACGAAAAACATTCTGAGACACCTTTTATATTTACAAGAAAGTTTGTTTTGGTCACAGATTACCCCCCTAATAGAATCCGCATACGGGGCCACAAATGCACGCAACACATACTTGCTGTAGCTAGCATATGAAGTGACGCTAAGAATCACGATATCATTGTCGACCAAGTTTGTGACCCGTAAGCACGTCCGAGTTTTTGAAAATTTAAAAATAATTTTGTATCCAAAATACATTACAAATGGCTTCCTATGCAGTAAAATGGTGTGGTAAGTCAGCAAAGACATCCAGTTATAAAAATATGGCATAACATTTCATCGGTAAGTAAATTCTATTCTTATCACGTTAACCTATTTCAAAATAACCTAAATCAAACTGGAGTTGAACTTACACTGGAAATGTAATGTGGCAAAGTGATATAATTTGAGCACCCGTTGATGTCTTTTTGAAATGTCCCTTTCACTCATTACGTAAATTAAAATAGTTGTCTTTGTCTAACGATAGTACGTGTATCGATAGTGTTGTGATTTATAAGTCTATATTTGTTTGGTCATCGTTTACTTTTTTTGTAGTCATTATTTTATACAAATAGTGGCGTATAATTGTGGTACCTATATGTTATAGGTTTCCTAAATGCCCCGAAAGGAAAAGATGTGGATCGACGCAACTTGTCGAGGAGACCAATGGTTTCCCACCAAAAAAAGTGTGCTATGCTCAAGACACTTCACAGAAGACAATCTTCATATTATGAAAAACCGTAGAAGGCTGTGATTCCGCTATACCATCTCTATACTTGCCAGTTTTAGTGTGGACTTTTACATTAAAAAAAAAGTATAATACCAATGGTGATATCACAATAAGCAATAGCAATAAGTGGTTGAATGAAACGTGATATTCTAATATTTAGGCGAATGATACACGTCGGAATTAAACTATTTTAACGGATTTATAAACCATAAAACAAGTGAAAGTTATAATGTGATTATTGTTATTCTAGTGTTACATGAACTTCAGTAATATCCTATTATTATTATTATTATTAAGTATACCTAAATTTGAAACACGTACCGTATGGTTTTTTAATTAATAATACTACTTTTAGTTGCAACACTCGGAAAAAATACTGTCACCACCGAAAGGACATACCAGACCAAAGTATTCACACCATTTTGTTAGTGAAATAATAGACCTACATCTCGCTGACAATGAAACTATGGTCAGTTTTGATGTTCAGTCACTATTCACATGCCTACCTATTGAAGACTGCTTCTCAATTGTAACTAGGAAGCTACAAGGTAACAACATGCCTGCAGAATATGCAGTATTACTCAAACACTGCTTCACATCTGGCTATCTATTGTAGAAGGAAGTAATCTAGGGCTCACCTGTATTTCCTATAGTCGCCGACATATATCATGGAGGACTTTGAGAAGAAACCCTTTTTTATAGAAGAAGGGGCAAAAGACCATGCGGCTCAGCTGATGTTAAGTGACTATCGCCGCCCATGATCAACCGCAACACCAGGGGAATTGCAGGTGCGTTGCCGGCCCTTTAGAAAGGAGTAAGCTCTTTTCTTGAAGGTCCACAGGTCATATCGGTCCGGAAAAATTCGCCGGTGGTAAACTATTCCGGAAGAAAACTCCTACCCTTCTTACTGCTCCTATGAATCCAAGATCGACAAGCGGTACGTAGATGACACTTTCACAATTTTACCACCTGACAAATCAACTGCATTTTTAGACCACCTCAACTCCATAAGCTTTAAAACACAAATCACGATGGAGTTAGAAACAAATAATACTTTAGCTTTCCTAGATGTTTTACTCATCCGAAATCCTGATAACACTATTGGTTATACTATGTATGGGAAAAAGACCTATACCAACCGATATTTAAATGGTGAATCTCACCTTCATTCTTCATAGTTTGCTGCTGTGGGTGAATATTTGTTTCAGAGGACACAAGGGATCTGTGACAGAATACATCTGTCCGCCGAGCTTCAGCATGTCAAGCAAATATTGCAAGACAACAAGCTTTGGGTTCCAAGCCTACATCGCAGCGACCGAGTGAAGCCGGCCACAGTCGGTGGATGGATGCCGCCATCTGCTTGGGATCCTATAATTAACAAAATCTATCCAAACCCAAGCATACCATATATATATTCTTTTATTTATATACATTGTTTTATTTTTTAATAAATTTCGAATAAAAATTGATCAATTTATTTATTTATCAATAATCAATAAATCCGATCTCCGAACCCTGTACCATTATGGTTCGCAGCATTCTAAGTTCAAATTTGAATTATCCAATCACAGCGCATTTGACACGTCTCCCGCAACTCGAAATTTGGTGAAATGGAAACAGAACAAATATTCCATGATGCGATATCTAGTAGGAGGTAATCTGTGGTTTTGAAAAAGCGTATATTTTCCATCGAGGCTAATAGTGCCGTGCGATCTGTATAAAGTGCTGTGTGTCTGTGTGACACAGCTGCCCGGTCCAAGTTGTCATTTGGGATGACAACTGGTCAATGGGATATTGTCAATGAGATGACGGATAGAGCACTAGTTGTCCGGTCCTTGTGGTCATATGATATGGTGGCTGATCAAAAGTACGCCTTAGCTAGAGTTAGTTTGCATGAGATCAAAAGTAATAGACCTTATGTGTATTTATGCCAGGATAGACGAGCAGAAGAAGTGGTAATTAATAGTGTTTGTAATAGGAATTTATGGAGATTCTCACCCGAGGACGGTCATACATCGTGATTAGCCGTGTCGGCACGTCTATAAAATACTGGTTAGATCGAGAGTAAAATGGTTTTACTCTAGCGAAACGTCGTATCGTCGATAACGTGGCAACTGCCGTTTGACATTCATATAAGATGTTTTGTCTACAGACTTGAATATCTACAAGTAGATATTCAAGTCTGTGTGTGTGGTGTGTCAAGTGTGTGTGTGCCTCAACATCCGATAAATTCAAGAATTTATCGGATGTTGAGGGTGCTTGTGTTTCATAGTTATTTACATTGAAAATTCCCAGTTCATGCATTTATTATTTCTACGCTACGTAAATTACATGCGCTCACTATAAGCATTGTAACACGTGTAAGCAGTAATGATTTTTTAATTGGTGACGTAAGTATGAAAATTTTATTATACTAGACGCAAACCCATTAATTATGTCGTTAGCCTCTTGCTTTTAATTTGCCTATTAATTCTAAAACCATATGTAATCACAAAGCATTGGTACCTGCTAATCCGGGCTAGTAAAATGCATGGAATACAATATTGTGTTATTTTTAGTTTCATGTTTTTTAAATTATTAAAATGCTCCGAAATCCGTCACAAGCAACCTCTTATTATTAATGGTAATTATGCGAAAATAGAAAACTTCCCACACAGCGTTTTTATATATATGGATTGCTTCTCAGAAGCGAAATGCGGATCGTCGATTTTAAACCAATTAATACTTTTAACTGCTGCCCACTGTATATTTAGTTGCGGTAGTGAATCAAGAATACTAGCATTTGCAGGTCACGAAAATATAAATAAGGTAAATTATTTTGTAATTATTTTCGGTATGGAAGTGAGCGTTTATTTTACATCCTAACAAAAAACTTTTTGGCTATATGTGGCAAATTTAAGTAATTTTACCTCAAAACTTACGTTGAGGTTTGCACCAAATTACTCGAATTTACTTTAGAAGAGCATGTATGTAAGAGATATATGAGAGAGATCAGAAGAGCATGCATGTAAAAGAAAATTATACATAGGTAAAGTTACTTAATTTTATTTTCTAGAAGGCAGATTGTTTTCAAAGTGTACATTATTGTTGATGTTATTTTTTATCGTTAATACGCATAATATTTATACACTTCTTATTCGAAATATACATTTATTTAGGTTACTGTAAGGGAGTTATTCTTTACAGAACATCAGTGTTGTATTACACCAGCAAAATTCTCATCGCGAAAACTAAACTCTGCCTAAATAAGTGATCTTAAATAGCTAAAAATCAATACAGATTACACAATAAATTATCTTAGGTTTTTCTTTTCTATTTAGGAAATCTAGGAAAGTAGTTAATTTTTTTGTACAACAATTATACGCTTTAGAATCTGATGAAATCGTGCATACAATTTTAACATAATGAATTATTATTTTAATATCTCAAAAAAAGCCTTAATATGCACAGTCGGAGCATAATATTACCTATTTCCCAAACTAAAAATAGGTTCTCAATTAATCTGCAGAAAGTAATAATATATAATAATATCTTAAGCTATGAAATAAACTTGAATCGAAAATATTTTTTTAACGTAAGGAAGGTAAACAAACAAATATTCTCTTCTTCTTTTTTCTTTTGTTTAAATTTAGCTTTTCTTTATATAATTTCGCCAATATTTAATTTTAATAAATTAATAAGTCAAATATGTAATTGTAAAATATTTGCCTATTTCCCAAAAAAACAAAGCACAGAATAAAATTTTTAAATTTTTCCGATGTAATTATATGTTTTTGTATATTTTAAATGGCAATATAAATCAACGTGAAAGAAAGAAACAGCAATATCTCATATATTTTCTCGCTTTATTTTCAAATAACCTCAAAGTACAACCAACCTCGAAGAAGTACGAAATGTGCAAATTAGTCTTTGTACGATCAGCGGGCTTCTTTTTGCCAATATACGCAGTCAGAACCTAACCTGCTGCCCTAATATACTCCGTGAGCACGAGTTGCCAGGCTTAGCTTCGCTAGAAATTGTGAATTATGGACTCAATAAGACTAGGATGGGATATTATTCTTCGATTAAGCCAGGATATCGCTGTACGGACTTGACGTTAGCAGGTGCTACGAAGAGAGAGAGAGAGAGAGAGAGAGAGAACACTTTGCAGAGGCATCTTTTAAAGAAATAACACCTTGTGGTGGAGGTTCTGTCATGTTATGGCTGCCCATTTACATAATACATTATACCTGCGAATAAATTCGTTGGATTGTACGGAGTTTTCATCGAAAAGGGCAGACTGACTGGGTATCGATTCGACATAACGAAGTTCTAATTCCTCATGCACAACCCGCATTGATCGCTCTTGGCTTTTCCTCAATTTATATGGACGACAACGATCACACCCACAAATCTGGCGATGTGGAAGCGTATATGCTAGAGGTCAGAATTTGTTGTTTGGATTGGCCACACGCTTGAAATCCCGACCTCAATCCCATAGCTTAGCAAGTGTCTGGGATGTGAACTGTGATGCTACTAAATTGTTTCTGGAATTTGTCCTTGTGCAATTTATGTTTGTAAACTGCCTCCACGATACAGGAGAAAATCCTAGTGTGAGTTTACCGATTAAAAAAAAGATACACTCGCTAGCATGCCCAGACGAATGTACGCTGTGATTTCAGTGAAAGGAGGTACATCTCATTCAATACTAATCTGATTTTACTTTATGAAAGAAAAAAAATAAACAAATATAACGTGTTTTATTTCTATTTAGAGAGTAGATACGCTTCTAGCGCTTTGAACTTTAACATTAGTTCTCACAAATTTAATGAAAATGTCATGATAAAACATAGACAACTTAAAATTATCAAACGATTTAATAGTATCAATAAAACTTGTTCTTTGCTTCGTTTTTTTTTTTATTTGCACATGACTTTATTTTCTTAATACATTTTAGGCGATGGTGACAAGGCGAGGAAAAAGTATATTGTTTCACGAAAACTACATTGACATAGCTCACATTTACGATATTGGATTAATCTTTTTAGAAAGAGGTTTACCTTTAGGAAACACAATGAAAAGAGTGATACTTACCAAACAAAATAGTGTCGGGCTTACCGCCGTGGTTGCGGGATGGGGACTTATAAATGTAAGTAAGGGTCCTATTTTTTTCACCTCGTGTCCAAATTACCATTGTACTTTTTGAGTAGAGCTACACATTCTTCGATAAAAAATAGCGTTAAAGGCTCACCTTTTTTGCCTCTCAAGGCGACTAAGGGTTACATGTTCGAAAATCTTCCATATTAAGGATTTTTCATGATCTAATGATGATGATGAAAGCCTAGAGCAATCAGCACGAGTGGCCTTCTAAGAGTAACTGGATAAAATCTCACATGAGTAACATTTCTTATAAATACGCATCAATAAAAATATGTCTTCTATATCGAACGTTCAGGGTTTGAGTTCAGAACATCATTTTTAGTTTAAAGTAAGCAAAACATTTGAACTTTAAGCTACTTTTTTTTCAGATTCCTGTATTTATCAACGTAATGAGTCTGAACGTAGCATAGAGTCACTTTCGGGGGGGTCCTTTTAATTAATTATCATACGGGAACTCTAGTGTGCGAACATTCCGTAGAATATGACGTTTATCGTCAGATTCCACGAAAGAACCGACTAAGTATAGGAAGATTGTAGGGACCAGTCGCACACGGTAGTGTAAGCGCTTAAGCGTAGGAAGTAAGTGACGAGCGTGCAGCTTGTTAGATTTGAGCTGTGTGCATATAAATTCAGGCTTTTAAATTAGTCCTAGAGCGCTTAGCTTAGTTGTTTTGCGTAGCGGTGCATTTTCCATACATTTTGAGCGATATACATGCGACACCACAATAGAGGAGCGCATGTACTCGTATATCATGCACGCGGAACGGCCCTCCGCAGAATGCTCTGCAAAAGCTTTGTCCTAAGATCTGAGTATAGATAATATGGTATTGAATGAATAACGTTCGTCAGATCTTGTAGCTTAGCGTTCTGAACAGATTTTAAGCGGTTGACACTCAGCGGAGTTAGTCATATTATCTTTCTACAATCGTCAACGCTAATAGATACTTTTAACATTAATCCCTTATAAGCTAAGATGCTGTAAAACAAAAGCATGTATTCGTTATGCACGCAAAACACATCCAGTAAATACTTGCCTCAGATACCTTACTCTTGGGTTTGGAGAAATGGATTGTTGCTAAACTTGACTGTTTATAACATATATTTTATTATATTTGTGGAAATAAATACCTTTAGGCATTCTCTAAAGCAAAAAAAAAATAAAAACATAAACACTCACGCCTGTCACCCAGAGGAATAGGCAGAGACTACGGACTTCCATTTGGCACGATCCCGACATACCTCTTTCGCCTCCCTTACATCCATATATCTACGCATACATCGTCGGTTAAGGGTACTCTAACGTGGCCCATTTTCAAAATATTGCCAATTTGGTCGATAAACTTTTTCCTAGGGCGTCCCTTCCCGACTCTGCCGTTCACATCTGCCATATAAATTTATATAATAATAATATAAACACTCACGCCTGTCACCCAGAGAGGTAGGCAGAGACTACAGACTTCCATTTAGCACGATCCTGACATACCTTTCTCGCCTCTTCCACATCCATATACCTACGCATACATGCTCGTCGGTTAAGGGTACTCTTAATTTGGCCCATTTTTAGTATATCGCCAATTTGGTCGACAAACTTCCGCCTAGGACGTCCCTTTCCGACTCTTCCATTCACTTCTGCAACATATATTTGCTTTGTCAGTCTTTCCGCATTCATTCTTTCTACATGACCAAACCACCGAAGCATTCCTTTCTTAATCCTGGTCACCGCATCATCTTGCAAACCACACTCTTCTTTTATCACACAGTTTCTCACCCTGTCACTCAGATTCAGCCCTAACATACTCCTTAGCGACCGCATTTCTACTGCATTTATTCTACTCTCGTGCTTCTTCTGCCACACCCAACTTTCACTACCATACGTTAAAGTAGGGACTAATACAGCACTGTGAATTGCCATACGTGCCTTTTTTGACACATTCTGACTTTTCACAATAGAGTGTAGAGCCCCATTTACTTTATTTCCTGCATTCACTCGTCGTTCAATATCCTTATCATATCTCCCATCCCTGCTGAATACATATCCAAAATATACGAACTCATCCACTTGCTCAATTAACTCTCCTTCTATTCTTATTTCACATACCGTCTTGCTTTCATCTCTTTCAAAAACCATCACTTTCGTCTTACTTGCGTTCACTTTCATTCCCCTTTCTTTTAATGACCTGTTCATTAATGTAACCATCATTTGCAACTCGGCCGCCGACGACGCAAGTATGACTTGATCATCGGCGTACAAAAGGCATTTGATGGTTAACCCATTCTTAACCCGCATTTTTCAACTTTCAAATTTTCCAAACAGCTGTCCATAAATAGGTTGAACAGCCACGGGGAAGCTACACAGCCCTGTCTGACACCTTTATGGATGCCAAACCAGTCCGAGTAGACCCCGTTGATTCTAACACAAGCACTCGAGTCCCTATACAGAGACTTTAATGCCTGTATCAAACCAGCGCTTAACCTAAATGCGTTCAGCGTTTGCCATAACACATCCCTGTCCACTCTGTCATAAGCCTTTTCCAAGTCCATGAACGCACAAAAAACTTTTTGGTTTTTCGCCAAAAACTTCTCCGCGATCATGCGCATGGAAAAGACTTGATCTGTACTGGAAAAGACTTGATCTGTACTGGAAAAGACTTGATCTGTACCATATAAATTTGCTTTGTCACTCTTTCCTCATTCATTCTTTCTACATGACCAAACCACCGAAGCATTCCGTTCTTAATCCTGGTCACAACATCATCTTGCATACCACATTTATCTCTTATCACGAAATTTCTCACCCTGTCATTCAGATTGAACCCTAGGATACTCCTTAAAGACCGCATTTCTACAGCATTTATTCTACTTTCGTGCTTCTTCTGCCACACCCAGCTTTCGCTACCATACATTAAAGTAGGGACTAACACAGCATTATGAATTACCATACGTGCTTTTTGACACATTCTGGTTCTTCACAATAGAGTGTAGTGCCCCATTCACTCTATTTCCTGTAAATAAAAACCTAAGCTATAATATAACGATTGCTTTGACTCATAATATAATTTTTGCTTTACGTAATACGATCTTCTATTTATGACATGAAAGTTTCTTTATCCAAACTCTATTTCATCATCATCATCATCATTACAGCCCTTCACAAGTCCACTGCTGAACATAGGCCTCCCCCAGGCAATGCCACAAAGCACGGTCCTGAGCTACCTGCGTCCATCGACTTCCTGCATGTCTTACCAGGTCGTCACTATCTAGTGGGGGGTCGCCCTACACTACGCCTACCGGTACGAGGCTACCACTCGAGAACCTTTCTTCCCCATCGGTTATCGGTTCTTCGAGCTATATGGCCGGCCCATTGCCACTTCAGCTTACTAATCTCAAAACTAAAACTCTATTTATAAACTATTTAAAAATAAAAATCTTTCCAGGACGTAACAAGGGAGCGCACCCACATCCTAAGGTCAGCTAAACAAGATATAAGGCCGATTGATACTTGTTTTGTAGACAGACGGCGACTGCCTGGTATGACTTGCGCAGGCAGTACCAATATGTATCTGCCAAGACCTACTGTGTAAGTAAATCTTGAGTGATTAGTGATTTCGCATAAACAATAATTTTAAAACTAAATATAGCAAAACAACAAGTCATTAAGTAACAGACAACTTACTAATTAACAGTTATCATATTCCCATTATGTTTCTCAAACGTATGTTGAAAAATAAAGTTAGAAGAATGACAACGTCATAAAAAAATACTAGTCCTGCAGGTTCTTACATAAGTGATAACATTATAAAAAATTGTATCAATGAAATGACAAGAATCTTGACTTATTTAATAAATCTTTTTCGTGTGAAACTTTTCCAGATGAATTAAAGCTATCCATTGTAAAACCAGTAGTTAAAAGAGGAGATATCGTCAATAATTATCGTCCAATAACGTTGATACCTATTATGTCCAAAATATAGAAAAAGTTTATGTACAATAGAATAATGGTTTCCCTAAATAAATAAAATATTATAATTAATGAACAATACGAATTCCATAATGTTTTCTTATGTTCACGCGAAAACTACACTTTTAAATAAAACTAAGGTTAAAGAATACAAGCTGATGTGAAGAATATATCCGGAAAGTCTGCAATCTGCGCACTCGTACTAGATCGCTCCCAACACTACATCAGATTTGATAGACCACAAATCCTCCCTAAAGAACACTGATCCATCCAAGGACGATTGGTGAGAAGATGGCTGGATGCTACCATCTGCTTGAGATGCTATAGTTAATAATATGATGTAGAATAATTTTGTTAATGTTTTCGTAACTACCTAGCGCGATGCAAGTTGTGACTGTGGGTAAACTCAGCGCTGCAATCGCTCGTACCTATATGCTACATATTGCGCCGCCCTTTTATATCACAAAAAAGAGCGATAGTGGCGCTAGAAGATGCTTAAAAAGAGTTACCGTGGCGTCGTGTCTACTTCATAAAATAATATAATTGGTGCTGAATGTCGAAAAGAAGTGATTGGTCAGTCCATAATATGTACTAAAAAAGCTGTAACAAAGTCTACGACTTAACTTTCGCCGGATCTAGAAATATAACTGACGAAACCGCATACTGGCCTTTCCCGGAATGCAGAGCTACAGTGAGGAACTCATTCCTTTTTTATGTACAAGATTACTCTGTCTCAACAAATTTAAATACATTGCAGTTAAAAATGGATAAAATACGTGGTATGCGTTTCGACTTGAATTGCCTCAGGACTGAAATGACTTCTCGTCTCGATAGTTTCAATCTGTACAAGATTATGAAAAAAGACTTAATCATATAGAACAAACACAGGAAAAATTGAAAAAAAGCCAAATCGACTTAGAAATGTTAGTGCGTTACTTAGAGGAGCGCATTCCACCTATGTCACAACAAACCCTGAAAACGAGATTGAGATCCTAGGCATCCATGAAGTGAAAGGTAAAACCCTAGTGATATTGCTCTAGCAACTACTACTACTTTGGGAGTTCTCTTGGGTGATGATGACATTGATGAAGTTTCCACGAGTTGGCACTCAGCGTAAAACAGACTCGGTAAGCTATGTACACCAGCCAGGACCCCTCGTTATGCGCTTTACGAGAAAAGCTAAACGTAACGATTTTGATAAGACAGCTAAATGAAGACAATCCCGAAATAAAAATATATGTGAATGAAAAATTTACTTACGTAAACAGACAGTTATTTTAAGCTGCTAGAGAACGTAAAATGTAATGTGGCTATAAATAATGTTGCGTAAAAAACTTTACTATAACACAAAAACCGCAAGAAAGATGGAGGCCCATCAATGCAGATTGCGACCAGGGGAGATCTTGACCGAATTTCCAAGCCAGCTGCACCAGTGCAATCAACTTAGATTACTGCTCCCTCTCGTTGTTTACTGTGACCATTTGTACGATCGGTAAATGTCTTATATTTAAATTCATAGTGCTTTGTAATACAATTTTACATCAATTCGAAATGCGTTAAAATCATATTGTGATTTATTGTTGCTTATAGATGATATGTTGTTAACTGATTACTCGGTAAATTCTTAAACAAAAATTCCCGTATGGCAATTTCAGATTATACCTATTACACGAAAATATGGCTTAATTCATGGCCTCTTTGGCCACTTTAGAATTACTTCAAGAAATTTCTACTTCAACTAATCTTTTAGTATAACATGTCATACTGTAAATACAGCTGAGCAATGTAAAACCTCCAAATATTACTTAAAGATTCCTACTATAAATATTAGAAGTCCACAAAATAAATTTTCTTCTCTTCTTGTGGTTCTCGCTAGGTTTGATACAAAACTTGAAGCTATTGTACTAAAACATTGTTGGATTTCTCAAACATTAGCAATCCCTCTAATAGATGGATATTTTTCGTTTAATTTAACAAAGGACATTGATAAGGCAGGTGGCGTAGTAATATATTTAAGAAACATCTTTTTGCCAATATTTTCTGAGCTTCCTACTGAGGACGCGAATTGTGTACTCGCAGAAATCTTTGACTAATTCTTTACATTAGGAATTTATAGATCTCCGTGGCGTCGTTTGGCACTATGGAGCCAATAATGACCTCTATCTATGAGGAAATAGGTAAATTACTTCAAAAATCCCGCTTGATAATTGGTAATCGTAACATAAAGATTCCGAAGATAAGTGTTTGATATATCAACTGGTCTATATAGCGACAGTTGAAGGATCAACTATCTATATAGCGGCAGTTGAAATACCAATTGTCTATATAGCGGCAGTTGAAAGACCAACTGTCTATATAGCGGCAGTTGAAAGACCAACTAGGTATAAATCGTAAAAATAAATAGGGCGGAATCTATTTTTGTCAGACAGATCTTATGGACCATGTCCTATTTATTACTAGGTCATACTCATCTTTGATAATTCATCATAATAAGATTGGTTATGAGGTAGTATTTCAGGAGCTATCTCAGCGGGTCTGGAGTGAAATACTTATGTGCAAATACGCTACTCAGTCTGCAAACAAATTCGTAAAGATCATTACGGAATCTATATCAAAAGACTCAAGAACTACTAAAACTATCAGCTCGAAATTTACTATATAGCCTTGGACGTCCCCTGGTTTTATTAGATGTGCTAAATATAAAGATAAGCTTCATGCTAAAGTACGCAAATACTCGAATGACCCAATCGTTAAAAGGATATACTCGCGTTACCGTAGCATTACGTGAAGTTACTGAGAAAATTAAAAATCAGTATATCTTGGTATTAGTCCGAACTGGTTCATTAAGACGTCCATCAATTCTATCTTCCCCGAAAGGGTTGAGACAAATAGCGTGTCGAAAGCCTTCACTAAATCTAGGAAGACTCCGACGCAAAATCACCTCAAATCCAAATAGGCAGCAATTGTTAAAACCATCAGTCATTTTCTATTGATCTACTCATTTTGAAGCATAATGATAATTTGACAGCAGTTTGTGTGTTTCAAAGAAAGTCATCACATGTATATTGAGTACGATCTCAAGAAATTTTGAAATTCTGCTTAACAGAGAAATCGGCCTGTAGTTGTTTGGTACTTTTGTTCTTCTTTGGGCCTTTCTTGAAGGACAAAACCAATGCACTTCTGCTCCTCGACTCCGGCTTAGTGCCACCATGGAGAATGGAATTGAAAAGCTTCTAAAGGACTTTAAGTACCGGTGTTCCACCCGCTTTCATAATATCCGCTGTTATTCCATCCTCGCCTAGGGCTTTGCCGGTTTTAAGGTGCTGGAGAGCCATTCTAATCTCGCTCAGACAGATGGCTGAGATATCATCGGAATAGTGGCGGATAAGACTTGCTCATGGATTGTTACTCACACTTGCGAGCTGCCCATAGAATCTCTCAATCTCACTCAAAATCTCAGGTGTCTCGGAAACAATGCTGCCACACTCTGTCTTCAGCTTTGACAGTTGGCTCTTTCTGACAGACAGATCTCTGGCAAAGGCTTTGGAGCCCTAGTTTCGCTCAATTGCTTCTTCAATACGAGCTATATTAAAGTTGCTTAAGTCCCGTCGCATGTATTTGGAGATCTGTCTATTCAGTTGCTTTTTTGCAGTTGTTCAGTTGTCAAATCTGTTGAAGACTGCAGCTTCATTTCCGGTCTAACAGCCATGAGATTAAGATAGTGATCGTGGAGTTTTTGTACTCTTCCGCGGCAGGTCTTGCAGAATTTAGCTCCGACCGCATGGACAATTTCAACGAGCTTATCATTTATATCGTCCACTGCATTTCATTCTTTTAGGCACCGAAAACGGTTTTGTATCTCGAGCTGAAAGGTTTCGGGACTGGATTTAGATCACGAGGGTGACGGAACATTGTTTTCATTAGACGAGATCTCTCCAAATTAACGTTTAGGTTCAGTGTGTCTCTAACTATTCGATGGTCACTGCCAATTTTCACTCTTGTGATCACCGAGACAACACAAGTTGCCGTCTAGTCGTCATAATAAAATCAATCTCATTTTTATCGAACCGTCGGGGCTTGACCAGGACCACTTTCTGTGGGGCCGCTTCTGGAAGAAAGAGTTCATCATAAAGAGTCTTTCTTTCTCCATGAAGTCGGCCAGCTGCTAGCCGCTTGGGTTCCGTTGCCCTATACCAAATTTCCCTACGTTCAGCTCATCGTGCTTTCTTGTGCCTCGTTTCGCGTTGAAGTTTCCCATTAACACGATATAGTGGGATTTGGAGAAATCCATGACTAGAAATATTTGTGTTGTTGCTCGTGGGGGGTATATTGCCATAGTTGCCACGCTTGGCAATCGGGCTTGCAACCACAGTTTTTTTTGCTGTCAGAAAGACGCTACTATCCATCTCTTGCTTGTTTCCCTCAGTCACCTTTTACGACATCCACGGGAAGATATAGAGTAGTGGATATTCTCAACCGCCACTACATGGCAAGTGTACGAAACCAATCCAACTGCAGAGAGGTGTAAGACAGGATGACGGTATATCCCCGAAACTCTATACCGCTGCATTGGATGACATTTTCAAGCTACTGGACTGGAAAGGATACGGTATTAATAT